ATAAAACTCTCTTATACATGAGTTTCTGTGGATTTCTTTCTCTAAAGTACCCAGACTAATACATACCCCCACAAGACAGCATTGCATACTTTAAGAAACACTGATGCAGAGCAATATTCAAAAAGCTTCTTGGTTGGCTTGGTAACTCTAAATGTTGGGCAAGTCATCTAATTGCTCTGGGTCTCAAATATCCAACTCTCCCGATGAGATGAGGATCAAGTCTGATGACCTCTACAATTCCTACTGGCCCCCATATAGTATTGCTCTAAGAATAGGATCTGAGTAAAAACTGTATTAATCACTGGAAGTTCCATTGTCATTCCCTGTGGCACACCCTTCCATGGTGGGGGTCAGGCTGGTTCTGGTTGGTCCTTTTCTATCTTAAAGGTGATTGGCTTAAAACACACCCTGCACTGATACGATCTCATTAGCATAATAGAGAAAACCCTATTTGCAAATGGGATTACATTCTAAAGTGGCTATTACTAGGTGTCTTTGGTGAGTGGGGTCTGACTCCTAGCCACTCTGGGTACAACAGAAGGAAACACTGCCCAGGTCTATACCACCCTCACAATCATGGCTGTGCTGGCGCCCATTGTTGCAGTCAGTGTGTCTGTCCATCAGTATAATAAAAAAAGAACCCTTGCTGTTGAAGTGATTCTGACTCATAGTCACCCTACATAGGACTTGCTTAGGCTGTGAATCTTCAAGGGAGCAGTTAAAACAAACGAAACTCACCACCACTGACTGAGTCAATGCCAACTTACCGTGACCCCACAGAACAAGGTAGAACTGCCCCTGTGGGTAACTGTGGGAGTAGAAAGACCCATCTTTCTCCCTTGGAGCAGCTGGTGGTTTTGAACTGCCAACCATGAGGATCACAGCTCAACGCGTAATCGCTATGCCACCAAGGAACAGATAGCTTCATCTTTCCCTGGCAGAACGGTTGGTAGGCTTGAGCTGCCAACCTTGCAATTAACAGCCCGGTGCTTACCCCACAGTGGTTAGGAGTTACAACATGTATTTTGGGAGGATACAAATCAACCAATCTACAACACAGGCCCTCATATCAGTCTCCCTTCCTTACTTCTGCCTAGACTTGATAGGGAGGGCGGTGGTGTCCAGGCTACCTTTGTAAGGCCCCACCTGCCTCTAGGAGGGCGTTGGGTGTTACAGTCACCTCTATCCTTGAGGCTCAATAGAAAGACAAGGGCTGAAAGCCAGCACAATCCACTCACCTGAAGTACTTCTCCACCAGCAACTACCTCCACCCTTCATTCCCAATACCATTCTCAAGGTGGGGCATTTTCTGCTAAGTCAACACTCTCAATGGGAGGATTTTCCAGAGCCATCCTCACTGCCTTGATTTCTTACTCACCAAACAGTGAAGGTAATGGCATCTCACGACGTAATTGTGAGGGTGAAAAAGTTCATGTGAAGCGCCAGTGATGTCTGACAAGCAGCAGTCATTCAACAAATGCCAGCCTTCCCCTTGGCAACTCTGTTTCCTAAAGGGAATGCCCAAGAGGAAGAGAAAGGCTCCCATGAATCCCCAAATGCCAGTTCTCTGGTCAAGTCCGAGATGATATTATGATGCATTTTCCAGAAATGGAGGCAGCCATTCTCCAATAGGCCTATCAGATGCAGAACGTCAGCACTGAACAAACACTCAAGAAGGGTAAGAGTCAGGTCTCAGTCGACATGTCCTTTGGAGGAATACCAAGGTTATGTACTGGACAGGCATTCTGCCACCTCCCCAGCCTGTTCTGTACAATTCTGGCTTTTTTTTTCTTTTCTTCAATTCTGGCTTCTTGGAGCTGGAGTGGAAGAATTTTCCCTGAGGGAACACAGCCAACACCCTGTCCCACCCTTCTCCTTAGGCAACTCTGCCAGGCAGAAACCTCTCTCACCATAGTTTTATTTTGTCTGCTTGGAGATCCAGCTGTAAGAGCAAAAGCAATTATATATGGACTTAAGCCAGGCATGAATTACCTAATAAGCAAGGTAAGCACGAGTTTGCTTGTATTTACTTACTAATCTGTCCTGAACAGATTTGCTCATAAACTGTTCACTAGGGACTAGTAAGTAAGCACAAGTAAATTCGTGCTTACCTTGCTGACCCGGCCAACACCGTCCCTGTCAGGGATTGTAAATTTGAAGAGGCTTTGATTCTGTTGGGTTGGGAGGGGCAAATGCCAGGCACACCTGGGAGTAGAATCTTTGATGTGGTGGGAAAATGTGAAATTGTTCACTACAGATGAATGAGCAAGCCTAAGCCCATGCTCACCTTGGCTGTTGAGTAATCGGACACTGGTCCAAGCCAGCCCCTCTCACCACGGCCCTCCCTCAACCAGGACTGCCTCCCCCTCACTTAACTCTTGGAAAACCGCAGGGCGTATGTCAGCCGGTGCCTAGTTCCCACAGTTGGCGTTTTCATTGCAGAGATAAATGTGAGAAGCTGCCTGGGTTTCCCTGGAATTCAGCAAGGAAGATGCTTGCTTGGGTTACCTAGTTTTGAACTTGTTTTTGGTTTTGTTTTGAGTATAAGTATACCCCAAATTCCCCATGGGGCACACTTGGAAAATAACAATGTGTTGCTTATGGTTAATTCACACTTAGCTGGCGTTCGGTAAGGCTGGACAACGATTGGCCAAGGGCATGCTGGTGCCCCGCCGGCGGTGAGGCTGTTTGGGGGTCAAGAAGTCACATCAGGATTCAGCAAGCAGCCGCTTCTGCAGGCTGATGAGGGGCCTCGAACGCGCTGCGGGCGGCGGCGGAGGGCCTCGTCTCGCGGGGCCGTGGGAAAGGAGCTTTAGGGAGACAGGCGGGGCCGCCGCGGCCTCATTCCTTCACGCCCTCAGCCTCGCCCCGGCCGCGTCGCCAGGCTGCCCACAGCCGAGGCGGTTCCCGTCGGCCCGACGTCTGCGCGCAGAGCTCGAGGCCTGGTGGGCGGGGCGAAGCCCAGTGCGCAGGCGCGCGGGGCAGGTGGGCGGGGAGACGCCCAGTGCGCAGGCGCGCCGGGCAGGTGGGCGGGGAGACGCCCAGTGCGCAGGCGCGCGGGGCAAGTGGGCGGGGCGCACTCGCGAGGGCGGGAAAGGGTGCCCTTACGCGCGAAGGTCGAGGTCCCGGGGCGCTGTGGGGGCTCTGTGGAGTCCGCGGGCCCCTAACCTCGGGAGGAAGCGTCGCTGCTACTCTCCAAGCACCATGGAGGGGACGGCCGTGGCCATCAGCGAGGTGATGCCCTGAAGAAGGGAGAGAAAGCCGCGAAGGAGACTTTATGAAGAGAGGGGCGTCCTGAGGCGTTGGGGTGGGATGCGGGTTGGGAGGGGCCTTCCGTGTGACCTGACTTGAAGTTGGGAAGGAAGACCCGGAAGTGACGATCACCATGCTTCGTGAGGTGTTGTGAGGAGCAGGGAGGCGCTTGGGGAAGGAGAGCTGACCCAGGTCCTGTGAGGAATTTGGTTCAGTTGAGGGAAAGGCCCAGACCCAGGCGCCAGGTGCCGTGTCTCTCACACGGGATTGGGTGACCCCCACCCTCACCCCCGTTTACAACTGAGGAAACGGAGGCTTAGGCGGCACCAGACACTTCCGGTTAGAGCCAGGCTGCCAGCTGTTTTCCACCCATGCCCGTGCTGGAGAGGAAGGGACATGGACAAGCCTGTGGGGACATTAGGCCCCGAGACAAGTTCAGCCAAGGAGGGAGGGAGGGAAAGCCGTGTTAGACTCTCCCGTCAACCAACTGCGGCGCCCTGGGTCCCAGCTCTGGCTTCGGAGCAGCTGGGTGATTAAATGGGGAGGTTCACAGGCCTCACCCAACACCCATCACACCTCTGATCAGAAATCTGTGCTCTGGAAGGTAGCGCTGAACTCCGGTCGCGTTGGTACAATCCATGACAGCGCCTCACAGTCCTGGCCTTGGGTGCCGTGGAGTTGATTCTAACTCATTGGGACCTTCATTTGTCAACATGGCCATGCCAACTCATAGGGACCCTGTGGGACCGGGAAGAACTGTCCTTGTGAATTTCGGAGACTTTTACCGGAGTAGAAAGCCCAGTCTTACCCCCGTGGAGTGGTTTCGATCTACCGACCTTTCGGATCCCAGCTCAGGGCATGGCCCCAGGGCTCTGTTAGTACCACCGCAGTAGGGTATTCTGGGAAGTAACGTGTAGGGGGCAAAAAATGGCCAGGCCCTTCTCTCAAGGCCCTTCTGAGCTGAGTGGATTTGAACGATTAACCTTTTGATTCCAAGCTAACCGCTTAATCATTGCACCACCAGAGCTCTTTTCACAGCCATTGCCAATGAGGGATCCTGGGCAGATGAGATAGAATCACAGGCTCTGAAGGGTGCTTTGAGACGTTCCAATATTTCCTGCCTTCTTTGTTATCCCAGAAGAAAGTCCAAGAATTCAATTGTTGCATGAACAGACCTAGGTTAGAACCCAAGCCTTCTGACTCATAGGCCAGTGCTTTCATTATGAATAAGGGAAATACAGGAACATCTCAACAGCGAGAGCACAGGAAGGCAGAGAGGGAATATAAAGGAACATGTTATACCGTAGGAAGACGGTTATATTCCAAAAGCCTGCAAACCACTCTTAAAAGCTGTGGTATAAACTAGGATCTTAATAGTCAGGTTTTACTACGATTTTCCTTCCTTAAAAAAATTTTTTTAGGTGCCTTAGTGTGGAAGTGAGAGTTTATTCTGTTCCATGAATAAGAATAGAAGTTAAATCTATGTTTTATTTTGAATTTGTTCTATCAAGGAGTATGTCACCTAGTCGTCTTAGAGATTTGCTCAACTTAAATTATTGTGTGCAGTCCTTACAGAAGATGAGCTTATTATTAGAAATAATAGCTAATATGTATCAAACATTTGCTATATACTATACAGGGTAAGCATTGTGCACATAATTTGTTTAGTTTCAACAGTAGGCTTATGTGGTAGGTTCCTCTCCATTTTTATAGATGAGGAAGCAGGTACAGAGAGGTTAAGTAACTTGCCTGATGTTGATTGCAATGTGGTATAGCAAGGATTCAAACTCAGGCATTAGACTCCAGAGCCATCATCCTTTTTTTTTTCTTCCAGAGCCTCATTCGCAATTGGTATTCTGACTCTCAAATATGTTGATTTAAAAATAAAAAGATTTATAACCAGATGCCACTCTTACTGTGGAGAGAAAAGGAAAAGAAACAAGAAAAACAAACGCCCACTTAATTTTTCCATAATTATTATTTCCAGATGAACTTAACCTGTGGATCAGTCAGTGACGTTTATTTTCTCTGCTTCCTGCCATGTTGGGCACTGTCCTGAATTCCGGTCTCCTTTTATATCACTCCCCTGGATGTTTATTCTGTTTAGACACAATGTGCCTCTTTGAACAAATGTAAAGTTCACATTTTACAAGCAATAATATTATATTTTTAGGAAATTAGAGTTCTTAATTTAACTATCACAGTTTTATTATTATCTTGATTTCTAAAGAAGATTGTGCTTTCTTTGAATTGTACCCTTTTCAGATTCTGAGATATTTAATAATTCACTGGAAATGTGAAACAGCAGGAGTATCAAAGAAAGCATTGCTAGAAGGACAGCTAGTGATTTCCACAGAAGCATTCACTTCAAAGCACCATGCAAATGTTCTTCATTGCGTAACAACTAGTAAGTGGGAGAAGGAAAAATATTCATTTTTTAAAATCTTTGTTTCATCATGGTCTATAGTTTATTTTAAAGTTTCAATTAGTCATAATCTTTTATCACATCAGTCTGGAATTGTTCATAGTTTGAAAACTTAAATTATTATTTAAGTGTCTGTTGGTAGATTTGCAAATGTGTCACATAGGAAAGGTGAGTAGAAAGACTCTTATTCTTTATTTTACTGACTTAAGGTAAAATTACTCAGAAACAACCTTACTCGTGTTCTTGTTTTCAACGGGCTCACAGTAAAAGTATATTGCGTTGAGTTTTACCTCTGTTTTTTGTTTGTTTCTCAAGACGTTTGGTGGTTGCAAAAGAACCAAAAATAAGTTAGAGGGAAATATGTAAAATGATAAACAGCTTCTATGTTGGCTCCTGACTTGTAGTTGGTTTGAAGATAAATACTTCTTTCATTTGCTCTTAACTATTGTTCTTTTGTCATTTTCTTTTTACTTTTGAAGGGACGCTGAGGCATTGAGTTATCTCTGGGACACCTAACTTTCTTGAACTAGCGATAGCTCTTTTGTTTCTCTCATGCATGTGTATGTGTGTGAGTGTATGAGTACAGCTTTTTGAAGGATATATCGGAATGAAGTCCCATCGGCCTAACAGGGGTCACCGTGGGTTCCTGCTGAGACTAGATAGTATATCAGGTTCTACAAGACGTTTGCACACCTGAACTGAAATGGCCTGTCTTCTCTTTGTCTACCTAGCTTTAAACATCTTTAAAGAAAGGTATCATTGGTCGGCCTGATGTTAAGTTATATGAATTCCATCTGGCTATATGCAGGTTTCTTCATGAAATATATGCTTAGCTACCTGGCTCGGGTGATTATTGGTCTACATATTGTTGCATTTACTTGTACATTGAAGCTTATCCAATAAACTGCAGGCAGGGGTTGATTTCACTTACAGCAAAGCGCTTGAGCCACAATAGTTAATTAGAAAGAAACTAATTTTTGAATTTATTGGACTCCTTCAGCTCACATAGTATAAGGACATCTCTCTTTGTTTTTCATAACTCTGATAGTGATATAGTTACTTTTATTATTTTTTTTGGTTGAAGAAAGATGATACATGTTTGTTACAATACATACCAATATAGAAACATTATAGAAAGTGAGACTTTCCATTATCTTACCTCTTGAGATAGCATTTATATTTAGTATATATTCTAATTAGAAATTTTATGTGTTCACAATTGCTATATTAATTAAAAATAGAATTATACTATATCTGTGGCTATGCCATGTGCTTTTTAGTAACTTCATACTTGGAATACAGTATTTCATATTTCATAGTATATAGAGATAGACTTAATTTTTTTAATGGAAAAAATATTTAAGGACTATATATATTGGTGGCTCAAACCCACTAGCCACTTTAAGGCAGAAATGAGGCTGTCTGTTTCTATAAATATTTACAGTCTCAGAAACCCTATGTAGGGTCACTATGAGTCCAGATCAACTCCATGGGAGTTGGTTTTGTTTTGTTTAATTTAATAAAAAGTATACACATATATGTGTATTTACACATGTATAAATATGTATGTGTACACGTATACGCATGTACATTCATTTCTTTAATTTTAGACCTACTCAAAGTTATACATAATCATGGTGTGGATATCTTTGGGTTTGTTTACTTGAATTTCATTGAGTTTCTTGTAAGTGTAGATTCAGGTCTTTCATCAAATTCAGGTAGTTTGGGGCCAACTCTTATTAATGTTCATCTTTTTGTCTCCTCCTTCTGAGGTGCATAGACCATGTAAGATGATCGGCTTGATGATACTCCCTAAGTTCTCTTAATTCTGTTCAGTTTTCCTCATACCTTTTCCTTTTGGTCTTTAGATGCAGTAATTTAAGTGGTGTCCCATCTTCGAGTTTGCATATAGTCTGCCACCTCAGATTTGATGTTGAACGCCCCCATCATTCCTTTCAGTTACTGTACTTTCCAGCTCTAAAATTTTGGGGGGTTCCGTTTTATAGTTTTTATGTCTCTATTGATATTCTCATTTAGTTCATAATCTTTTTCTTGATTTTCTTGAATTTTTTCCCTCACGTTTTCCTTTAGCTCTTTGAGCATGTTTAATGCTGTTTTAAGATTTTTGTTTACTAAGTCCATTATCTCCAGTTCTATAGGGATAGTGTCTGTTGTTTTGCTCTTCTATCTGAACCACCCTTTTCCTTTCTTTGTGTGCCTTGTTATTTCTTGTTGAAAGCAGGATGTTTGACTATTATAATGTGGTAAATCTGGAAATCAGATTCTTCCCCTCCCTCATAATTTGCTGGGTTCCCCTCACCCCTTTGTTATTAAATTGTTGAAGGCTGTAGTAGCCTTGTTTATGTAGTAACTTCTTTCCTGGATGCTTATACACATTCAAGCCTTTGTTCCTTAGCTTATGCTCAGCTAGTGTTTTAACGTAGTTCCTTTAGTGTCAATAGAACAGAACCTGAGCCTGTCATTGAAAATTGTCTTTATGTTGGGGCTCTCCTTCAACATTTAGCTAGGCTTGCAATGATCGAGGGACCAGGCCAAGATAAAAAAAGAGAGTCTTCTAAGGCAGTAATTGAGCACACATCTTGCCCTAAATATATGCGTGCCTTGCTCAAGTTTTCTATATGCAACATGCTTCGGAAAGCCATAATTTCCAAGAGAGACTTTCCCACTTCTCTGTCTCCTCTTTAGGTAACTATTGTACACTTTTATTATACTCCAGCCTAATGTTTCCCCAAATGGGTGATATTGTCCCTGGGGGTGCTGGGAGACACGTTACCCCGGATTATGGGCTATAGAACAAATGCTGTGCATTGCTAGGGAACCCTGAGTAATTTTTTTTCCTTCTGAAAAAGGAGTGGTAGGTCATATACGTTTGGGCGCCTATGCTATAGCTCCAAGTGGCTACAGGCAATTGCAGCCTTTAGGTGTTTCCTGTAGCCATTCAGCCGTTCATGAGGGCTGAGATATGCTAAAATATGAGGGGCCTATGAAAAGTTTGTGGAAAAATGGAACTAAAAGATCATGGATGTTTTTCTCATGAACTTTTTGAAGCCCCATTATAGATCTGAGTAGAATGCCTTTCCGTCCTTAGGCAGCTCCCAGAGAGATTCGAATAGACATGCACAGAAATTTGTGGATAAAGTCTTCCCTGTTCCCTTTAGAGCCAGAAATCCAGCTCCTTACTGGGTGCCTGGGTGCCTGCTTCAGCTTTTAGAAGACTGCTTTAAAAATAATAATTTAGAAACTATCAATTGTTCCTGTGAGAGGGAAGGTGGGAAAGGGAGGGGCAAAAATGAGGAGCTGATATCAAGGGCTCAAGTAGAAAGAAAATGTTTTTAAAATGATGATAGCAACACATGTACAAATGTGCTGGACACAATGGATGGATGTATGGATTGTGATAAGAGTTGTACGAACCCCCATAAAATGATTAAAAAAAAAAAAAGACTGCGTTGAGCCCTAAAGCAGCGGTTCTCAACCTGTGGGTCGTAACCCCTTTGCGGGTTGAAGGACCCTTTCACAGGGGTCGCCAAATTCATGACAGTAGCAAAATTATAGTGATGAAGTAGCAACGAAAATAGTTTTATGGTTGGGGGGTCACCACAACATGAGGAACTGTATTATTAAAGGGTCGCAGCATTAGGAAGGTTGATAACCACTGCCCCAAAGGGTTGGGAGCAGGTGAGTAAATAAACAAAGCTTTCCCACCGATTAGATGGTAGTGGACCTTTTCAGTCAGGGAAACGCAGGTCCTTTGGTTCTTGGGAATTTTCCCTTGCATTCTCTGTTTTGTTTTCCTAGAACTTCTATTATTTATATATTTAAGTGTTCTTCCTTTAATTCTTTTCTCTCCTATTTTAAAAATGTCTTTTACTTTCTAGGCAATTTCCTCAAGCTTTTCATCTAGTCTTTGATGGATGTTTGCATTTCTGTTGTCAGTTTGTATTTCCAAGAGCTCTTATTTTCCTCTCTCTTAATGTTTCCTTTTTTTATAGCATACTGCACTTGTCTCAGTTACCATATCTTATCTTTCTGAGCATACTAAAGGTTTATTTTTGAGTTTTTATCTGTCTCTGCCAAGTTCCTATTTCCTTCATATTGCTTTTTTTTTTTCTATTTAGTTTGGCTTCTGTTTTTCATGTTAGAAGCTTTCTTAAAATTCTGGGTCGTCTGCTTATTGTTAAGAACTGGAAACAAACAAGCAAACAAAAAAAGAATTGGAAACCAAAAAGCTGATTGTATATTGTGAGTTACCAAAGCATGATCTGACTGGGCTTTCATTGGAGAGAAATCCCACTTCCCTCAACATCAGTGTCTTTGTTCTTGGGGTGACTAAGTGTTCCATTCTCTTAGCAAGAAGGTAAGAAGCCAGGCTGCTGGCATTCTGGGAGTCAGGGAGCAGAGGGTTTGGGGTATCTCAGCATTCACTTTCTAAGTCCACTCAGTCCACCTGTTTTAGTCCAAGGGCCCACACTATCATTTTCAGAGAATAAATTTCCCCTGCCCTCAGGTTATGAAGGGTCAGTCCCTAGAATTCTGAGTGGAGAGGGAATATGGATATTTAATGACTTCTTAAATTCATTTTTAAAAACTGACTCTTCCTCCTTATATTAGTTCCCATCCCACTCTTATTTGCAGCGCTTTCAATACTACTCTTCTTGAGCCCTGTGGGAACTTTACTGTATTGGGGGTTATTTCTTGTTCTCCTCTACTTTCTCAGGCCTGCTAAGTCCCTTTTCAACAGTCCAGCTTTTATTGTACCAATCTTATTGCAATTACCATTGTCTCTTATTCTCTTTCCTTGCGAGCTTATACCTGAAAAATTACTACTTTGCTATTGTTTTATTTAAGTTTCAGTGGGGAGTAAAAGTAGATGTGGGTGTTCAAGATGCCTTCTTTACCTGGAAATGTGGTGCTTTAAAATGTTGTTTGATATCAGTGATAATGAAGAATTGCTAATTTTATTACTAGAAGAATCCATCTATCCCTCCCAGGGGGGCAAACAACAGAAACTGTGGGGGAAGGGAGACAGCGGTTGGTGTGAAGATATGAAAATAATAATAATTTATAATTTATCAAGAGGTCACAAGGGTGCGGGGGCGGGAGATAACAAGGGCTCAAAGAGAAAGTAAAATATTTATGAAATAATGATGACAACATATGTACAAATATGCTTGATATAATTGATGTACGGATTGTTATAAGAGCTATAAAAGGCCCCAATAAAATGATCTTTAAAAAAATAAAGAATCCATCTATAAAAAAAACAAGAGATGACTAGTTTTTCTTTATCATAAATTATTGAAGGCCTTAACACATAGGATTATTTAACTCACAATTTTGAAAAATGCTGAGCTATCGGGTGTTCACATGTTTTATGGAAAAGAGTTTTGTAGCCATCTAAATCTGGGAAATCCTGTTAAGATAAAATGGATATATTTGCCACAGGTTTTCCCAGAACCTTCAATATGCTAGGATGGAGTGTGAATCTTTAAAAATATACTATTGTGTATAACATTTTCCAAACATATTTGACTTCACAGCTCTTTGGCCATTTTGAAGAGTGTTGTTGCTTTATAAAGAGTGTCCTGTAGATAGGCCTCTGCTTTGCATCTGAAGGATGGTGTTGTGTGCCATCTAGCCTATTCTTACTCATAGCAGTCCACGTGCCAGTGTAGAACTGTCCCACAGAGTCTTCTAGGCTCTCACCTTTATGGAAGAAGATTGTCAGGTCTTTCTCCTGAGAAGCTGTGGGTGGGTTTGAAATGCCAACCTTTTGGTTAGTAAGTGTGGTATCACCAAGAGCTCATTCTCTGAAGGATAGCGCTTTGTTACTTTAGTACAGATGCATCAGGAGCTTAGCTGAAACTTGAGGGCTGGATGGAGTGTGGAATAGACAGTGAGCTTGGTTTTCCCAAGCTCATTCACCATAGTGGCCTGCTTTCAACAACTGTTGATAGAATAGTTAAGTCAAAGGGGAGAGGATGTTAGAGATACAGTGTGAAATGTGCAATTGAGAAACATGGGACACCCTGTGAGAGGTTGAACTAGTGCTTCTTTAAATGTACTGTTGCTATCATTAGATGCCTCTGAGGCAGTTCAAACTCCGTAACCTTGTGCACAACAGATTAAAACCCTGCTTGGTCCTGCATTATCCCCATAAACCTTGCTGGGTTTGAGACCATCTCTGAATCCAGTGTTCTAGCTCCTTACACATCCTGGAGCAGGTCTGTCACTACCCATCATCTTAGTCTTAATGGAACACTCTTTTTGATGTTAGGACCAGTGTATGCCTCAGGGAACACTAAACAAACACATGCACTGTGCTGCTTGGGCTTAGGCAGTTAAAAATATGAATCACTTGTTTAGACTCTTTCAAAACTCTGAAGATCTAGAGCTGTACCCTTCAGTAGAGTTTGTGTGTGTGTGCACACGCGCTCGCGTGTGCGCGCGCACGATGATGGAGATGTTCTGTCTCTGCGTTGCCCAGTACAATAGACATTAGCTACATTAGTGATTGAGCACTCGAAACATAGCTAGTGCAACTGAGGACCTGAACTCAATACATTTAAATAACGGTGCCTTGGTGGCACAGTGGTTAAGCACTTGGCTGTTCACCAAAAGGTTTGTGATTTGAATTCAGGAGCCACTTCATGGAAGAGAGGACCTGGAGGTCTGATTTGGTAAAGGTGACAGCCTAAGAAACCCTTTGAGAATAGTTCTACTCCGTCCTATAAGGTCCCTAGGGTTAGAAATTGAAATTGCCACATGTAGCTAGCTAGTGGCTTGTTGTACTAGACAGCACACATTTAAAAACATGCTCTCATCCTAATTCAGAGATTCTTAAGTCTTTCTCCCTGTATCCCTTGGGGGTCTGTTCCCTTTCACCAACCCCAAGGGTGATTGCGCTAAATATTCTTAGGTTCAGATTTAGAACTCTGGGTTCAAAAATTCTTAACCTGATTGTCCAGTAAATATTTGCCAGTTAAGAGTAAATCTGGTTAGGAGATCCCTAAGATTCTAATTGCATCTTGTACTCAGGTTACTGGCTGTAACTTGCAGTCTTCCTGTAGACTTTCCTATCAGTACTGTCTCAGCAGCTGTGGTGGTGGCTCAATGGTTAAGTGTTTTGCTACTACCCAGAAAATGGGTGTTTCAAACCCACTAGCCATTTCACAGGAGAAAGCTGTGGCAGCTGCTTCTATAAAGATTACAGCCCTGGAAACCTGATGGAGTAGTTCTGTTCTGCCCTACAAGATTGCTGTGAGTTGGGATTGACTTGTTGGCCATGGATTAATTTTAGTTTGGAATAATAGAAGCTAAAGAGTTAGTCCTGGGGTTGCATATAGGTGAGGAGTTTGGGTTATTCCTTTTATTTATTTATTTATTTTTGGAGTTTGGGTTATTCTAAGAAGGTATTTAAACCCTACTCACTGGTCCTGCCCCATCCTCCCAATTGTTGCCAATCTACCTCGTTAAGAATCTGCCTCTTTTTTGTTGACTCTCTACTAAGCATGATGTTTCCCTCCAGGGACTGGTCCCCCTGATAACATTTCTGAAGTATATTTGATGAAGTCTTGCCATACCCACTTCTAAGGAGTATTCTAATTGTACTTCTTTCAAGATGGCTTTGATTGTTTTCTGGCAGTCCATAGTGAGGTGAAAAAGTCCAAACCCATTGCTGTGGAGTTGACGCTGACTCCTGGGGACTGTATATATAGGACAAAGTAGAACCGCTCCATAGGGGTTTCTAGGCTGTCATTTTTTACAGAAGCCAACTGCCATATTTTTCTCTTGTGGAGCAACTAATGAGTTTGAACTACCAACTTTGTGACTAGCAGCCGTGTGTGTAACCACTATACAGCCAGGGTTCCTGGGACTCATAGTAATGGTGCCTTTTTTTATGTTCTGTATTTTAGGCAGGAGCCTTGGTGGCATACTGGGTTGAGTTGGGTTCTTAACTACCCACTGCTTCTCAGGAGAAAGATGAGGTTTTCTTACTCCCGTAAAGAATTAGCCCCTATCTGTACCAGTGTACATTCTCTGGTCTAGCCAGACTTGCAAGGTAGAATTGGGATCATGATAGTGGGGGGCTGGGGAGGAGCATTTAGGAACTAGAGGAAAGTTGTATGTTTCATCATTGCTACTTCGCACCCTGACTGGCTCGTCTCCTCCCTGAGACCCTTTTGTAAGGGGATATCCAGTGGCCACTGGTACAGATAGGAACTGGAAACACAGGGAATCCAGGGCGGATGATCCCTTCAGGACCAGTGGTGTGAATGGTGATACTGGGAGCGTAGAGGGAGGGTGGGTTGTAAATGGGGAAATGATTACAAGGATCTACATGTGACCTCCTCCCTGAGGGACAGACAACAGAAAAGTGGGTGAAGGGAGACATCGGACAGGCAAGATATGACAAAATAATAATTTATAAATTATCAAGGGTTCATGAGGGAGGGGGGAGCGGGGAGGGAGGGGGATAAAAGAGGACCTGATGCCAGGGGCTTAAGTGGAGAGCAAATGTTTTGAGAATGATGAGGGCAATGAATGTACAAATGTGCTTTACACAATTGATGTATGTATGGATTGTGATAAGAGTTGTATGAGCCCCTAATAAAATGATTAAAATTTTAAAAAGAGGGAACTGATCACAATGGTCTACATATAACCCCCTCCTAGGTGGACGGGCAACAGAAAAGTGGGTGAAGGGAGACATCGGTCAGTGTAAGACATGAAAAAATAATAGTAATTTATAAATTTTCAAGGATTCATGAGGGAGGGGAAAAATGAGGAGCTTATACCAAGGGCTCAAGTAGAAAAAAAATGTTTTGAAAATGATGATGGCAACAAATGTACAAGTGTGCTTGACACAATGGATGTATGTATGGATTGTGATAAGAGTTGTAGGAGCCCCTAATAAAATGATTAAGAAAAAAAAGAATTACAGTCTTGGAAACCCCCACTGAGGCAGTCCTATAGGGTTTCTATGATTGACTCATAATTGACTCCAGAGCAGTGAGTTTGGTATCTTTAAGCAATGTTTTTCAGGCTCTCATTTGATTATTTAAATAAAATACATTAAATTGTTTTATTTGTGACATTTCTTTGTAATCTGTTTCTTACAGTTACTTCTGGAAGGAGTAATTATGATGGCTTGGGCAACAAGAAGTTCGTGAAAGGTAAAGAATTACCCAATTTCCTTGAGGCTTGCCAGATTTGGCAAATGTCTTATTTATCTAGTAGTGCTGTTGCAGAAATACCACAAGTGTGCGACTTCAACAAACAAATATATTCTCCCACAGTGTAGGAAGCTCGAAGTCCTATGAACATAGAGTGCCAGCTCCAGGGGAGGTTTTCTCTCACTGTCAGCTCTGGAGAAAGGTCCTCATCTCTGTAGCTTCTGCGGCTTTGCTCCTTGGAGAGCTCCCTGTGTCTTGCCACCTACTTCACTCTCCTTTAGCTTTCTTGTGTAAGCTCTTATCTAAAAAGAGATACTCCCTACTCACTAACGTAACAAAGACAACCCACTTCCATAGGCATAGAAGTTGGGCTACATAATACATTTTTTGTCGGGGGTGGGGGAACATTTCAATCCATAATAACAAATAAAAATACATAATAACAATTAAATTTAACCATGAGATAAAATGATAATTTTTAATGTAAATATACCCCATGAAATATTTTATCCTGTAATTTACCTGGCAACTCTATTGCAAGATGATTTATGAGACAGTTCTTTCTTATATCAGTGTAGAGACGTAGGGGTGGATGAGATACTACAGGCACTGTAGCTTCTCTGGATACTTGTAGACAATGTCAGCCAAAATGATCCCAAATGTAGGTTCAATGGCCCTGGAGGATACTTTATCTGTAAGTGGTTTTGTCTAGTGTTGATGTGCTTTTCACATGACTTGTCCAAATTGGTGTGCGTGACCTTGGTTTACACAATGTCGTCTTTCCTTTTATTGGAGCATGCTCTGTAAGCTGAAGGGTTAACTTATTTGAAGGAGACCAAAATGATCCAAGAATTGTTGTGCTTTCATTTTTGTTTTTTGTGGCTGTGTGGTTCACAAATACTATCTAGTGCCCAAGTGCCTGTTTGCTCTTAATGAGTGGTTAGTTTACAAAGTTTACAGAATTATTTTTAAAGAAACGTTCCTCAACTAAACTTGGAACACATAAGTAGATTATAGGTTCTTGTTTTAATCCATATTTATTCTTGCCTTAAGAAATAATCCTATGTATTAAGTATGGACCCATAACCAAAACACTACATTAGAAAGGTAATGTCCTAAAATAAATATTTATGAAATGGATTAACTAGCCACTATTATTAGATGCCCTCAAGTTGGTTCTGATCCATCATTACACTATGTACAACAGAACAGAACATTGTCCAGCACCACCCTCGTAGTAGTTCATATGTTCAAGCCCATTGAACATACTCTGGCACTCTATCAGGCAATGTTCCACTGCTATCCACAGGCTTTCAGTATTATCACTGGGCCCCTTTAAATGACAAGTTTCCTAATGCATTGTAAAATGCAAAGCAGTGAAAAATTAAAATTTATATCCAAATTCCCAGGAACCCAATGCTTGTATAAGTCAAAGGACAGTTCTTTGTCTTGGTTACATCAAAGAAAAAGAAGAAACAATTTCTGCAACTCATCTACAAGATGAGTGGCTTCAAAGGCACAAACATTTGGGAAATAATTCTACCATTTGAAACTTTGAGAGTCATTTTTTAGTTTAAGAATGGGGATTTAAAAGTGCTTCCTTGCTGAAGAAAGACTCATCAGATGTAATTCCCTTTGCCTCCGCCTATAAATCTTAGCCTGTAATTCCACTTGCCAGCTGCCTCTAACCTTGGATTCTTAATAGGTTTCAGCTTTTGCTCAGTGATCCTAGTTCTTGTTTAGGTTTTGCTTGGTGAACATACATTTCAAAGCAGGTGGAAAGCAGTAAAAAATAAAATAAAATAAAATAAAATTGAGTTTCTGTTCTTGGCTTACTAACAGAAATTCTATAAGAGCTGAGGTGAATATTCTCCTTTTAGTAGTAATTGCAGTGTTGATTTATTGAGCATTGTCTATGTGCTAGGCCTTGCACTGGGGTACACAAGTTGCGCAGTGAACCACATAGTGGTGAACAAGACAGATACAGTTTGTTCCTTTATGTCTATACCTAAGATATGGTAATCACTCTATTCTGTTTGCTTCAGAGAGAACCATGCCTAGGCCTGTAAGAAAGGGAGACTTAGTTTGCTGTGTGTGAGTTTGTTCTGATTCTGAGACTTGTGGGAACTCTGAATTCAAGTTCTAGAATCATGGCTTCACTACCTCAAAAAGTCATCTAGCCTATTTATCAGCCTTTAGTTACTCTTCTTATTTGGGTCATGCCCTTGGGATGATGCAAAGAATGGAAAGATCATTAATAATGCCACTGCCCCAGTTAATAAGCATAAAGTGCTTTGAAAGCATGAAAATCCATATAAGTCAAAGGAAGTGTGTTATTAGCATTAGGGAGGAGATAGGAGAATTTCCTACAGCATAAACCCATACTTAACATGCCTATGTAAAGAGTGGTCAGATCCTATATAATGCTGCTTTTCCGATGAATATTTGTGAAAGTGCTTTGAAAAAAGTGGAAAGCCATGTAAGTACAAGGGAATGGTTTTACTACTGTTAATACTAGGGAGGAGGGATTGAGTATCATTTATGGAATTATTCCCTACGTATTATGCCAATAGTAATGTCCGACAGTTTGAATCATGGCAACTTAATTTTAACTCAACTGTTTTTTGAGTAGCCCTTTTAAATGCTCAAAGCAATATCATGCATGTTATATCGTCGTCTTATGATAGACTGGGGTGACTAACTCTTTCTGCCAAGTAATCAATAAAAACAACTTAATTGCTTTCGCATCAATTCTGAATGATAGTGACCCTATAAGACAATGTAGAATGTTCCCTTTGGATTTCCCAGGCCATAAATCTTTATGGAAGCAGAAAGCCTTGTCTTTCTCCAGCAGAGAAGCTGGTGGGTTTAAACTGCTGATCTTGTGATTAGAAACTCAACGCAATCCACCATACAAGCAGGGCTCTTTTTATGCAAAAGAGGAACACAATAAAAATGGAGTTATTTGTTCATGATCAGTCATGTAGTAGCTAACTTTAGCCTAAGTCAGGGGTCTTCAAACTATGGACGGTGAGCCACATGCGACCCACCGAGGACATTTATACGGCCCGCCTGGTATTTTCGCCTATTTTGTTTTTTTACTTCAAAATAAGATATGTGCAGTGTGCATAGGAATTTGTTCATAGTTTTTTTTTTTAAACTATACTCC